TTGATGGTCTGTTCCACAATCAGCTCCTGGCCTTGTATTGGCTGAAGATAATTGAACTATTCCATTGCCTCTTGCCACAGATGTAGTCAATCTGATTCCTGTGTACTCCATCTGGCAAAGTCCACGTGTATAGCTACCATTTGTGTTGTTGAAAAAGGTATTTGCAATAAATAAATGATTGGTCTTGCAAAATTTTATCATATAATCTCCAGTGTTATTTCTGTAACCAATGCCAATTTTTCCAACTACAAGTGATTCTTTGTTTCTAACTTTTGCATTCCAATCACCAGTGATAAGCAACACATATTGATTGCATGTTCAGTCAATTTCAGACTGCAGAACTTGGTAAAAATCTTCAATTTTCTCATCTTTGGCTTTGGTGGCTGGTGCATAAATTTTAATAATAGTAGTATTAATGGGTCTTCCTTGTAGATGTATGGATATTATCCTATCACTGACAGCATTGTACTTCAGGACAGATCTTGAAACATCCTTTGTGATGATGAATGCCATGCTTTTCCTCTTTAATTTGTCATTCCTGGCATAGTAGACAATATGGCTGTCTGATTCAAAATGGCCAAAACCTGTCCATTTCAGCTCACTAATGCCTAGGATATCAAACTGTAAGTGTTCTATTTCATTTTTGACAACTTCCAATTTTCCTAGATTTATACTTTGCACATTCCATGTTCTAATTATTAATGGATGTTTGCAGCCCCTTTTTACCTGGATATCCTGCTGCTCCTGAGGTCCCCTAGAGACAGGAAAGGGAGGGAGCAGGAGTGGCCTTGGGGACCTCAAGAGTGGCAGGATATCCAGGTAAAAAGGAGCGGGAGGCAAGGCTAGGCCCCAGGCCCCCTAAAGCCAGGAAAAGCCAGGAGCAGAAGTAGCCCTGGGGACCTCAAGAGTGGCAGGATACCCAGGTAAAAAGGGGCGGAAGGCAAGGCTAGGCCCAGACCCCCTAGAGCCAGGAAAAGGAGGGAGTGGTCGGGGACCACAGAGTGGCAGGTTCCAGGTAGGAATTAGGTAAAGGGAGGGCACAGAGGTTTCCAACAGCTAAAACAGACAAATTTGTCTGTCAGTTTGTCATTCTATAAAGCTTGTATGTTGCTGTGAGGCTTGAGGCTGTGCCACTGGTGTTTCAAATGCCAGCAGAGTTGCACAGGTTTCAACATAGCTTACAGACTAAGATAGACTAGGAAGAAAGAGGAGGCCATCCACTTCTCAATAACTGGCCAGGGAAAACCTTATGAATAGCAGAGAAACACTGTCTGATACATTACTGGGCAACTTTATGAAGAGCTTGGAAACATTGTCAAACACAGTGCAGGAAGACGAGCCCCTTGGGTTGGAAAGCACTTAATATAGGTCTGGGAAAGAGCTGCCTCATCAGAGTAGAACCAACTTTAATGATACGGATAAAGTAAGTCTTTCAGGACCTCCACGTGCTGACATGGCAAGACTCAAATTGAGGAGAAACAGCTGCAAACATCAGTAGTGATACTGCTTTGTTGAAACCCAAGGAATGGTCGCTATGAGTTGAAACTGACTCAAGGACAGTGAGTGAGTGCATAAATAGTTTAAGTTCTGAAAACTCACTGCCCTTGAGTCAGAGCCAACTCATAGATACCCTTCCTTGAGTTTCCGAGGCAGCATCACTATGGAAGTATGTTGCCCAACCTTCCTTAAAAGTTCTGAAAAAGAAGCCACTTTACTACAATTTTAGCTCCCAGCTTCATTAAGCTGGAAAAAAATGCATCATTACTTCAAAAAAAAAAATTAACAAATTGATTTAAATGAGAGTTCTTATTAAAATATCTATTGAAAAATGGAAAGCTTTTAAAGAACTAGAATTGAATAATAAGTTTTTCCAGTGGAAAGAAATATTTTATGTGAAACAGGATCCTCAAGGTGGAGGCTTTCATGGAATTTGAAAAAGCATCGAATCTATCTTCTTGAAGAGGAAAGGAACAAGCAAAGTGGCAGCCCACAGCAGCCTTTAAATGGTCATGCTGGCATGCTCTCTAGTTTTCTAAAGTGTCCAGCACTTTGAGTACTCGGGAAGAACAAAAGGTCAAGACATACAAGACACAATTTAAACATGATATTTTTGTAAAAACTTTATTTTCATGCTATTTTTTTTAAAAAACACATCTATAAATATTCAAATTTCTCTACTCCAAGACACAGAAGAACACTGCATAATTTATGCTAAACAAGGCATTATGCCTTACAAGGGAAGACATAAAATGTCCAAAGGATATTTAGAACATTGTAGTTTTTAAAGCTTCAACTACTGAAATGTTCACCACATACTATGAAATGTTGACCACAAATTGTGGAACAACAATAAATAACAACTGACATTCTTCTCAACAGTCACCAACATAAATGTGCACATACAATTCTCTATCTTAACAGTCTGTTTGCTTGGATCTCCCACTCTACCTCCAGCCTTTATAGTGGCTGGCATGTTGTGGGCTCCCCCAGAATATTAATTTCATGAATGAAGAACATTTAAAACCCATCATCTTCATATTAAATAAGGCAGGATTGAACTTTCTTTACCATAAAAATGATCTTTAAAAATAACAGTACAGTGAATTTCCAAGAAAATTCATATCTTTAAATACCAGATAAAACATTAAAAAAGAAATCATGAAAGATAAATAAATAAATACATGTATAAATAAACAGAATCTTAGAAAAGAGTCAAACACATTAAGCACAGTCCCAGTGTCCCCAGGAGCAATTTGTTTTTCTTCTTTCTCTTTGGTTGCCCTAAGGGTAGAACCTCCTTCACAAATAGTCTCCTTTGGGCCTGCTCCTTCTCACTAGGTCAGTTTGTGCCGCTCCTATGAGGAGAAAATGGTTGCTCTTAGAAGGTAATCAACATAGTGACTGCACAGCCCCCTTCTCCTGCCTTAGACCCTGACACTCCAGGCTTTTCCAAAAGCTGCCTCCCCTCAGGTCAGTTACTGCCTGTAACCACTGCAGCCCTGAGCAGCAGAAAAAGTCAGGCTCCTGAATGCTGCTTAATAAGGGGACCTGTGCTAGCCATGGCTGGTTTCAAACAGCTGAAACATACTGAAGACTGCCCCAATATTACCCTGGGCTAAAAATATCCATGCATAGCCTCACTTAAGCCTCCTAGCAAAACCACAAAATAGGTACTATTATTTTCTCATTTTATAGTGACTCAGAGAGAGTACATATTTTTCTGGGTCAAGAGGCTAATAAAAGGTGGAACCTAGACTTGAACTCAGGTGGGTCTCACAGCAAAGCCCTGCTGTTTACTACCAAGATTTAGAGGCACCTAGATCTGACTCCACGGCATAAAACAACAACAACAACAACAACAATTGCCCAAAACTAAAGTTTTGACTTTTCAGGTCTGAAGTCATGAGAAACTGGGATAAAAACTTATCTTTAGTAGGTAGGAAGCAATTCAGAATCACTAAGCAAATAGTATTTTGCACACATACATTTAACCACTTTCATTTCAATGGAGGTGTGGGAGTGGGAACAAAAGGTGGCAAAAATACTCTGACAGGAGAGCACATTAAGGATCTCAATGGCAAATTTAATTGTGAATCTAAAAATGAGGATATTCAGCCCTTCAACTAACCCCCGGTTTTCTATGATATGATTTGAAGAAGCAGATGCTTCTGTACCAATGACTCTAGTCATACATTGTAAGTAAAAGCCAATAACTCACTTTTTAAGCATCTTTTCTATGATTCTCTTAACCATGGGAGCTGCAGGGTTGAGACAAGCTTCCTGCCCATTCTTGAGAGTGGCTCTGCAGAGAGAAGGGAGAATCCGTGTGAGGCATATAATGGACCTGGGCAGTCAGTGAGGGGAGTTTTGGAGCGTCGGGGTGACTGGATTACAGTAGCAGCCGCGCGCAGCAGGACTTACATGACTTCGGTTTGGCCGCAGTGGGGTCCTGGGGGCGTCACCTTGACACTTTCGATATTCTTCAGATGGATTCCCTGCACCGTCTGCAAGCACTGACAGCGCAGTTCCGAGACCACGGGAGCCCCTGGGGAAGAAGAGACACTCGGTTAGGTTGTCTTCCGGCATGGACTCCCACCGTCCCTTGGCCGCCCCTGGGGTCCAGCCGAGGCTCACCTGTTGCGTGCCGGCCTGCGGTGACTAGGAGCAGGAGCAGCAGCGCCGCCCGCAGAAGGCGAGGAGTGCAGGAAGTGGCAGCAGACGAGGCGAGAGCCATGGAGCTTGGCTGGAAGGATCTGGGCAGCGGTGCCTGGAGCGAGAGAGGTGGCGAAGGAAAGCTGCCTGTGGTTGGGATTCTGAGGCTCAGAGCCCCGCGAACCCCTTTTATCCATGCTCCTCGGGGCTGGAAAGCCCAGTGCCGCAGGCCAGGGAAATTCCCGGGTTTCTTGATTTGTTCCCAGATTCCGGATGTGAGGCTCCCGCCCCTCTGCTCTTGCCAACCCCGCCTGGCCCTCTAGCGTGTCACTCTCTGACGCGGGGATATTCTCTAGCTGCCCCCAAACTCCCAAAGGGAGAATGAGCTTTTGCCGCCCTAGAGTTACCAACTGCTAGGGGGGACCGTGGGCGCCGTGTAAGTCTCCAACGCTGTGCAGAGAGTGGGGCCCAGGACCCAAGGGGCGGTTAAAACTATGACCAGGCAGCTGAATTTCTTTAATGGGGTTACTTTCAGTTATTGAAATTGGAGTAGTTAAGGCGAGGAACAGCAGCCTCAACTATCTATCTCTTTATCTAGATCTGGATTTTGCAGATTTCTCTAACTTCTGAAATAAACACACTTGGAAAAATTAACATCTGTCACATCTCAAATTACATGCAACAATGTTTACCTCATTCCTTGTGTTTTATAAGCTCAAATAAAACAATTTAGTTCTATATTTTTCTAAGGGATGGGAGAGGGGAAGACAAACAATTTTCACAGCTCAATTTAGTGTTTATTTCAGGAGAAAGTGTTACAGTCTTTGATCCCTCCTTTCTGAATTTTGGAACTACCAGAACTTGAATAATCCCATGGACATTACCTTTTTGTTGTATGGGACCCCTTGTTTTGATTCATGTGTCATTCGGGAGCTGCCAAGGGCCGTATTGGGCTTACAAGTGCCACATTTTGTAAGTTTTCAAAAAGGTCATGGTAACCAGAAAGTGAGTGTCTAGTGTGATTTGAGCTTTTCAGTCCTCTGAGTAGTACAAAGATGTGTTTTTGTAAAATATATAGGTGCCAGATTACTAATTTAATTACATTTCCGTTTGGTATGAATTTTCTTGCCTTCTGGGATTTTATTCCCTTGAGGGAAACCACTATCAGTGTACTTTAGTTTTCTGATTTCGATAAAGCTTTCCAAAGTCTTCTTAGCTGACACCCTGTCACAGGATAATTAACTTAACCATAAGTTTCAGTGCTCCCTGTTGGAGTAAACTATAGATACTAGATGGTTTAAGTGTGACTTTCTGGGGTGGATACAGACTTGGGGATGTGTGAGATATGTTGCTGCTGCTATAAGAAGCCTTGACAAAGGGCAGGTAGGAGAAGAAGGCGGTATACCTCAGCAATGCTCCAAGTACAACCAGTGGATTCTGACTCACCACAGCCTTCTAGGACAGAGTAGATCTGCTCTATAGGGTTTCCGAGGCAGTATCACTACGGAAGTAGGATTGCCCAACCTTCACTCCTCAGAAGGAAGGTTGGGCAATCCTACTTCCGTAGTGATACTGCCTCGGAAACCCAAGGAGGGGTCGCTATGAGTCGGGGCCGACTCGACGGCACATAACAACAACAACAACATAGGGTTTGCTGGCTGAAATCTTTATTGAAGCAGACTACCATACCTTTCTCCTAAAGAGCAGCAGGGTAAGCTCGAACAGTTGGAACCAATGACCTTTCAGTTAGCAGACCAGCAGTTAACCATTGCTCCCCAAGAGCTTCTCCACCTCAGGAATGTTGTTTTTAGGTGCCTTCAAGTTGGCTCCCATCATAGCGACCCTATGTACAACAGAACAATACACTGCCTGGTCCTGTGCCAGCCTCACAATCCTTGCTATACTTGAGCCTATAATTGCAGCCACTGTGTCAATCCATCTCATTGAGGGCCTTCCCCTTTTTCACTGACCCTTCATTTTACCAAGCATTATAGCCTTCTCCAGGTAATTGTCCCTTCTGACATAACCAAAGTAGGTGAGATGAAGTCTGGCCATTCTCACTTCCAAGGAGCATTCCAGCTACACTTCTTTCTGGACAGATTTGTTCGCTCTTCTGGCAGTCCATAGTATTTTCAGTATTCTTCACCAATACCACGATTCAAAGGCATCAACTTTTCTTAGGACTTCCTTATGCATTGTCCAGCTTTCATATGCATATGAATATGAGGATATTGAAAAAACCATGGCTTGGATTAGGTGCGCCTCAGTCTTCATAGTGACATCTTTACTTTTTAACACTTTAAAGAGGTCTTTTGCAGCAGATTTGCCCAATGCAATACGATATCTGATTTCTTGACTGCTCCTTCAATGGGTGTAGATTGTGGAACCAAGGCAACTTCAATATTTTCTCCATTTATCATGGTGCTGCTTATCGGTCCAGTTATTTTGTTTTATTTATGTTGAGGTGTAATCCACACTGCAAACTGTAGTCTTTAATGTTCACCAGTAAGTGCTTGAAGTCATTCTCACTTTTCAAGCAAAGTTGTGTCATCTGCATGGCACAGGTTGTTAATGAGCCTTCCTTCCAATCCTGATGCCACATTCTTCTTCATATAGTTCAGCTTCTCAGATACCTGCTTAGCATACAGATTGAATAAATATGGTGAAAGAATACAATCTTGGCACACACCCTTCCTGATTTTAAGCCATGCAGTATCCCCTCATTCTGTTCAAATAAACAGCCTCCTATTCTATGTATAGGTTTCTCATGATCACAATTAAGTGTACTGGAATTCCCATTCTTTTCAATGCTATCCATAATTTGTTATGATCCACACAGTCAAATGATTTTGCATAGTCAGTAAAGCACAAGTAAACAACTTCCTGGTATTTGCTTTTAGCCAAGATTCTTCTGACAAATCTGGCCTGGAGGAAGTGCAGCCAGAATGCTCCTTGGAAATGAGAATGGCCAGACTTCGTCTCACCTTCTTTGGTCATGTTATCAGAAGGGACCATTCCTTGGAGAAGGATGTCATACTTGGTAAGGTGGAGGGTCAACGAAAGAAGGGAAGGCCCTCAATGAGATGGATTGACACAGTCACTGCAGCGATGGGCTCAAGTATACAAGGATCATGGGGCTGGGTGGTTTTTTGTTCTGCTGTGCATATGGTCGCTATGAGTCAGAGACGACAGCACCTAACAATAACAACAACATGGATCTCTTCCACTCAGTTGTCCGGGTAGTTTTCTTCCAAATTTCTTGGCGTAGAAGAGTAAGTGCCTTCAGGTTGCCATCTGTTTGTTGAAACATCTCAATGGGCATTCCTTCAATTTCTGGAGCCTTATTCTTTGCCAATTCCTTAAATGCAGCTTGGACTTTGTCCTTCAGTACCATTGGTTCTTGATCGTATGCTGCCTCCTGAAATAGTTGAATATTGACCAATTCTATTTTGTGCAGTGGTTCTGTGTATTCCTTCTATCTTCTTTTGATGTTTACTGCATCATTCAATATTTTTTCCCATAGAATCTTTCAATATTACAACTTGATGTTTGGATTTTTTTCTTCAGTTTTTTCAGCTTGAGAGATGCTGAGTGTGTTGTTTCCTTTTGGTTTTTTAACTCCAGATCTTTGCACATTTCATTATAATAATTGACGTTGTCTTCTTGAGCTATTCTTTGAAATCTTCTGTTCAGCTCTTTTGTCTTGTCATTTCTTCCATTTGCTTTACCAACTCTCCATTCAAAGGCAAGTTTCAGAGTCTCTTTTGACATCCATTTTGCTCTTTTCTTCCTTTGCTGTCTTTTTTAATGACCTTTTGTTTTCTTTATGGATGATGTTCTTGATGTCATCCTACAGTTCCTCTGGTTTTAGGTCATTGGTATTCAATGCATCAAATCTATTCTTTTGATGGTCTTTAAATCCAGGAGGGGTATAGTCAAGGTTATATATTGGTTCTCATGTATTTGTTTTAATTGTCTTCAGCTTCAACTTGAGCAACTGATGATCTGTTCCACAATCAGCTCCTGGCGTTGTTTTGGCTGAAGATATTGAGCTTCTCCATTGCTTCTTTGCACAGATGTGGTCAATCTGATTCCTGTGTACTCCATCTGGCAAAGTCCTTGTGTATAGCCATCATTTGAGTTGTTGAAAAAGGTATTAGCAATGAATAAGTCATTGGTCTTGCAAAATTCTATCATGGAGTCTCCAGCGTCATTTCTTTTACCAAGACCATATTTTCCAACAACTGGTGATTCTTCGTTTCCAACTTTTGCATTCCAATCACCAGTGATAATCAACACATCTTCATTGCATGTTTGGTCAATTTCAGACTGCAGAAGTTGGTAAAAATCTTGAATTTCCTCATTTTTGGCTTTGGTGGTTGGTGCGTAAATTTGAATAATAGTATTAACTGGTATTCTTTGTAGGTGTATGAATATCATCCTATCACTGACAGCACTGTACTTCAGGATAGATCTTGAAACATTTTTTGTGACAATGAATGTCACACCATTACTCTTCAGTTTGTGATTCCCAGCATAATAGATCACATGGTTGTCTAATTCAAAATGGCCAAAACCAGTCCATTTCAGCTCACTAATGCCTAGGATATCAATTTTTGTGTGTTCCATTTCTTTAACAACTTCCAATTTTCCTAGATTCATACTTTGTACATTCCATGTTCGATTATTAATGGATATTTGCAACTGTTTCTTCCCATTTTGAGTAGTGCCACATCAGCATATGGAGGTCCTGAAAGCCTTACTCCATCCACTTCATTAAGTTGGCAAGGTTGGGCAATCTACTTCCATAGTGATACTGCATCAGAAACCCAAGGAGGGGTTGCTATGAGTCAGGTCTGACTCGACAGCACGTAACAACAACAACTCTGAGGAGTCAGTTCTTCCTTAGTCGTATTTTGAGGGCCTTCCAAACTGAAGGGCTCATCTTCCAGCACTGTGTGGGACAATGTTTCAGGGCTATTCATAAAGTTTTGCAGTAATATATCAGACAGTGTTTCACTGCTATTCATAAGATTTTCACTGGCCAATTCTTTGAGAAGTGGATGGCCCCTTTTTTCTTCT